TGATGATAATCGAGTGGCATCCATGACCTAACCAAAGTATCCCACTCATCATTTGGGATGGCATGTTGTCCGTTTTCATCTCACACGCATGTATTCATGCGCACAAACATTGCATTGTAACCAGTTAACATTTCTATTGGTAAAGCTTCAGATAAGTTTAAACTGTGTTTAATAGGTAATATCATGACGAACGGTCTCTGTCGTGTTCTGGCATGTTTTCTGCTGCTAATTTGAGTAACCTGGCAATTCCTTTTGGGGACCGTATGTGATGAGTGGTACAAATATTGGCGTTTTCTTTTATCCCTTATCCCATAGAAAATGGAGGAACAAGCATACCTCGACATGTCAGCGCCGCAATATGCGGATGAGAAACCACAATCGCATGATTCGTGCGAACCATGGTTTGGAGCGGTCCACTAGCGGTCCGAGACTCAACCTGATTGGAACCCCTGATGACTGTTTTGGTCAGGCAAAACAGACTGGATAAATATTAACGCAGTAGTGTGTAAAGCGCTGGTCCGCAATGTGCGAATAAGATGTATTTTTTTAACAAAAGGAACAGACTTTATTCTGCTGGGGGTGAAAGACTTTACATAAGTACTGTAAAATCTCCATGTTTTCTGGAGCCTTATTAAAGAATATACATATATATATTATAGAATATACTCGGCAGCAATATTTGCATCCCAAATCACTTGTCATATATTTTACTTTTTCCAATTACCGTTGTTTTTGTTGATCTTTACATAAAAAATAATAGTTGCGGTATTCTCGTTGTCGAACGTGGCTCAAGAGATCGCTCCCTGTCGATTTTAGACCCAGAACACTATAGTTATACGTTTGGAAATTTCGAAATCATTTTTTCTGATTTTAAATTTTTACTTACTTTTTTGAGCTTTTTAAATCTTTTCCAGTTTTTAAATCTTAGAAAGGCTAATTGCAAGCTCATTAATTTTATTCCTACTTGGGCGTTTTCTGATTTAACATGTTTTTCAATTACCGACTAGTAACGCAAGTTCATCTCCAGAATAGAGATTGGCTGGTTTGCGTCCGTGATATGATTCCTTATTCACCACCGGGCCAATCAAAAATTGCGACCGTGTTTGGTATGCATTTGAGAGGAACCAATCACAGACGAGCTTTGATGTGTCCTGTGAATACGTGTTTACGAGGGCGTGGATAATGCACACAGTGGCGTTTGAGTGAAATTGCCATGATCGTGTTCGAGATTTCTGGGAGCATTACCACCACTGTCCAATTCTCGACTTTTTCTGTGCAAGCTTAATCGCTGTCGGTTGCTTTCAGCTCGATGGTTGGACGCAGCCGATCTGTCGGGCAACTCAATCAATTGCTCAAGATTTCCGTCCGTGTGGAGCATTATGTTGAATTGAGCACAAAAGACACTTTTGATACCATAGTATTTCAGAACCGACTAAGGCAACACTTCACTATACCATGGCGGGAACCGAAAAAACCGATCAAAACGAGGTTGTGTGTGAGTTATACATCCCTTATTCTGACCTCGGCCTCATGGTGGCCTTATCGTCAACAACGGTGCTTGGATTTCGAAAGTGTTCAACGATTCCTGACATTCCATCAAGCAGGTCGTTACTGCGCAATAGGAATGCAAGATGACGGTTTGTCTGAGAAACAATTCATCGTTTTGCTCACCAAATCCATCGCAGACTTGGATCAGTTACTTCGTGTCATGCAAACTCAGTTGTCTTTGTGGAAACGAACCCCCCAGACTGGTACTGAACCAGATCATCCTATTTCTGTGGTGAACTCAAGACTTTCGGCCTTGAAAGCACAAAGTTTGGCTTCACCTCGTTCTAATCTGATAGGACCACGTCCTAAAACCCTTGATAAAGGAAATAATCAACTACCACTGCTTGCTGCATGCAGTCTTCCTGGTACTGACCGCAGATCTAATGTAAATCCACCCTCTGGAAGCTCACTCTACTCGAGCACGATCATGTTGAACGCTTGTCAGTGTAAACCGGAACATCTGCCCCGAATCGATCTAACCTCACCGGAAGAGAAGTTGAAGGTGGCAAAGGTGAATGGACTATCACAATCCCCCCGAGTATTGATCTGTAACACTCCACGTTCCACTCCCGGCATGGAAATTATATGTAAAGAAGACCCCAAGACGGTTGTCAGTCCTACTCAAACCTACCCAGCAAAGAGGACGAATCAGAATGGTAATCATCGAACGTACTGTCGATCACAACCACCGGATTCCAAATTCCCGGAGACCGATTCGCAATCCTGGGAGGTTGATGTGAAGTATATTCGGTATGATCCTGTTCTGGGAAATGTGCTGGATGATCATGGATCTGTGTATTTGTATACGGCACATCAGATTAGTCGTTAGTGAACATTTCACGTACGTCTCAAGCAGAAACACGGAAAGTTCAGCAAAACTGTTCTCAGATGTCCCAGCTGTTACAGCTTATAGTGAGGGCAACGGACCAGACTGGAACCAGCTTGGTTAATTGATTGTTTGCTTGGTTTTACTGATTTTCAGCCCATACTGTACCGTGAAACCATGTCCGTGCAACATTAGTTCGCCTGAGAATCTGAATTGTATTTTTGACTGACTGCTCTGATCACACTAGCTCTTTCGCTGCCCCTCGTCCAAAATATTCCTGCAGTCAGTATTTCACTGCGTGTGTGTGTGTGTGCATGTGCTCCATTTTCATCGATTTGCTCGCACGGGAATTTGTGCAATTGAATGTGCCTATCTGCGCCTGTCTGAAGGTAACTCGAAGCTTTCTAACAGTACATCTTTCCAGAAACTTACTTCGTTCAGCCACAGTGAGTCCCCTTTCAGCTTCCAAATCTCTTTTCTCACACATGGTAATGGTTTTCGAAGTTTTGAACGTGTTTCTTTTTACTTTGAGTTATCTTGGGCTCCATAAAAAGCATTATTAAACCTGTTCCTCTTTTTGACTGCTCTACTGCCGGGAATTACTTCCGACAATAATTAAAACCCAAGTCCCACATTTGCCAGATAGTAGTGTGTGTGCTCCGAATTATTTCATTCCATCTCAACCAGTAATTTCTGAGGAGAACCTTGGGGATTACATAACGAAAGTGACTAACGGAATACACGAGGTCACAATGAGAGAGAAACGCTACGGTCTAACGCGAATCACAAAGACAGAATCACGGTCATATCATGATCTTCCTGTTGGTCCAGAGTGGATATCTGTTGATTGCCTTGGTCCAGAAGGTCATAATACTCCAGACCTTTAGTCAAAGTAGAAAATCCGTAACCACTTCAGGTGGTCGCCCCGGTGAAATGATTCTGACAAATTAGAGTGGTGTTCAATTATTTTATCGTCATTCGCTTGTAGTTGCATTGAGTTTTATCGTGTTTATCTATCTGGTTTTAAATATTCGTGTAGCTTAAATACGGACGGCAGATCACATCTCGCATATCGATTGTCTGTTTCTAATTGTTTCAAAATCACAAGAGATAATAAGGATATGAAGCAGACGTGATGTAATTTCCGAGTCCCAGAACACATGGAAAGCATAGAAGTCACAAGACCACAGGTTTTGAGAGTAAAGTGAGAAGGTTATATGAGGGGAATTGCATTATGCTGAGTAGGAGATTTTCGGAAAAACCGAAAATTGTTTTAAATCGGATTTTAGTAACGGCGTGTTTGCACAGCTTCGTATTAATTATGAAAAAGCTTACTCTGAGAGAAGGTCACATCATCAATGATGCCTTACTTGAGTTGATGTTCATTGCTGTTTGCACTGTTTATACGAACTTACTTTTACCCAGGGATTGTGCAATAAATGAATACAACAATTCAAGAAGGATCAGCTTCAAGGAAAAGGGTAAAGTACACACGTGACTGTTGCGTTATCCAAACCCTTATGTGTGTTTATTGATCTCGTCAATGGCCTGTTAGTTTTCCCATTACCAGAACTTTCAAATACCTCAAATTTAGATCCCCATTCAAACCTTTTTATGGATGAGTTACAAATGTGATGCTTACTGAATTCAATAGGATCTGTACATCCTGAGTTCGGTTGGTAGCACAATTAAATAGCAAATTATAACGTTCACTCACGGACGCTTAATAATTCGGTGTTTTAATGCTTCATCGAAGCGTAACTTGAATGAATCGGTGGTTGAAGCATAAACAACTTGAGGTTGAAGAGAGTTCCAAGTGTTTCAAACTCTGATGCCGAAAGAGTGACGCCTGCAGTCTAACCGACTCTCTTGGAGCAGACGTTCGAACGGATCTCCCCTGGGAGGACCATCCTTGGACAATTTCATTAGAGTACTACACGGTTGATGGGGTAGATGTAGTATTTGATAAGCGATTACCATCTTCCCACTTAGACAATGGTATTCAGGTGAATAGAGCCCGAGAATTTCAAGTCTTTCACCGTAGGTTTTAGATTGCAACTTTTTGACCACTTTAGTTGCCGTTCTCTGCGGATGTTTGAGTGCTTTTTGTTCGCGAATTAGCCATAGATTCCAAGCTTGTATAGCATGCCTCTGGTGTGTGGTATAATATAGGCATATGGCGAATGGGACAGTAGGCTCTGCCTCAAATGATCCAAAAACACGTTTTCGTAATCTAATTTGCTTCATGGTCTTTCAGGACGCTCAAAAGCTATGAAGGGAACATCATAGATCCTCACGAACAATAATTTCCAGATCCTTTTCGTTTCGAGTACGCGATAGTGGCCAATGGAAAGCGACCATTGTGACGCAACGACACAATGTTACGTTTCTCACCGTTGAATTCTATGTCATTAGTGATAGACCGTCGTTAAGCTGCGTCGAGAGTTTCCTGTGGGTTTTGTAATCTTCGAATTTTGTACCGTTCTTCATGCATTGGCGTGGTCGGCGAATAAGTGTCGTTTCTCCAAGGACATCTGGCAAGTCGTTTATGAAAAAGTACAGACCAAGTACGGATCCTTGTGGAACTCCACGGATAGCCTCAATTGGTCCAGATGGAGAACCATTGATTCAAACTTATACGGTTCGTTGTCCAAGAAATTCTTCAATCCAGTCAAGAATTAGTCCTCGAACACCGTAGTGATGGCGCTTTGCAGCAATATGCGGTGGTTAACATTGCCAAAAGCTTTTGAGAAGTTCAAGTAGACCACGTCTACTTCCTCCCCGTTTCTACTCATTTCAAGCACGTAGCAGATTTGTGACGCACGACCGCTTTTTTCGAAACCCGTGTTGGACCGGCGATCGAATGCTATGCTCCTCGAAATCCTCTATCAGAGAATCACCAACAATTGATTCCATTACTTTTGACAGAACAGGAAGGAGTGTAACGGAAAGTATTTCGCAGGACTACTTCGGTAGCCGTATTTGCAAATGGGTGAAATAACACTGCTTCTTGGGTTGAGGAATCACCGTCTTGTAGAACATGCTTTGACATAAATGAGCAATTGTTTCACATATGTGGTTGGCCAAGGATGTCAGAGTCTGTGGGTGGATGGTGTCTTCTCACGCAGCGCCAATAGTTTAGCTTTTACAGTTTCAGATTCCAAGGTGACTGTATTCTACTGGGATATGGAACACTTGGCAGAAGCTGCAGTCCGACTTTGTCACTTGTAACCAAAACTTCATAGAACTGGACATGAAAGAATTTCGCTGCTTCAGACGTGGTATTGGAAACGCTTCCGGCATGCTCTTCTGCAGGTATTCCATATTTCACTTTTCTGATGGCATTGATATACTTGTGCGGGCTTTTTGAAAACTCTGTTTATCCTCTCACACTAATTTTACACAAGGTTTTCTCAGAATGATATGGTTATCCCAAGTGTCGACAGTTGAACATATTTTGAGTTCTCACCTCGAGAGAATGCAGCGTGACATTCATTTCTTTGTTCAATTGCGAATAGTTGATAGTTGAGTACGTGGTGTACCGATAGACTTGGTTTTTGCAGCAATCTTTATGAGTTCGGTAAGAATGTAAATGGATCTTTTTCAGGACTCCAATGGATCAAACTGTTCCTCCGGGTAAGTTCATACTTTAAAATAGCAAGGTTCTACCACTTCGTGTAGTCAATAAGGGTGCGCGTGTTGGTTTCCAGGCATTCTTCTGTAGAGACGTGGTAGCTGTAATCGGAATGCAGAGCTGCATGGTCACTGCGTCCTAATAGAAACGTTATTTCGACAGACCATAAGCTCTTTGCTTGTCAATACCAAATCCGATTTTGATGGAGGGTAACCCGTTACAAATCTGGTAGGTTCCTTTGTATGGTTACACATAGGATGAGTTATATTTCTTTCCAATGGGTCGTTATAATCCAAGCGTTTTATAAAATTGGGACAGTTTAAGCCTGTCATTATGAAAACATGAGTGAACTTAATGGTTTGCAACAGTACCTCGCTGGCGGCGTCTGAGGATGAGGGGGAACAATAGATTACACCTATCAAACACCGATCAGAATTTGTTGATGCAGTTCCCGGGGATGATAACCAATGGAGTATGGTTAAATTATAATTCTTCTACAAGTTCAATTATGAGTAGTTATATTCGTTGAAATCGATCTGTGCAAAGACGAACAACTATGAGTTGCTTTTCATGAATTCAATTCTGGTCAGACGATGAACGGATTGCATATTTTTTCTGAAATACATTCGTTTCTGAAGTAGATTTTTGTCTTTGGTAGTTTACACGTCGGTGCGGAGAGAGAGGTCTTTTCCGTTCATGTTATAATTAATGACACTTGTCTTTCGCGGTCAACAGTTCATTTCCCAATTGATCCTCCGAGGTATAAATGAATCAAGGCGACGCCGGTGTCAAAACCAATTGCATAATGGTAGTTCAAAAATTTAACTAGGTCAAAGGTGGAAATTTTTCTCCTTTTCCAATCAAAAAGTAAAAGCTGAAGGTGTCACGTAATACCAACAAAACAGAGCCAAGCATTGAACGTCATCGATTCTCACTAGTTGGCTTTAGAAAATCGGACCGCGGCCAACCGGAGTTCAGCATTGGTTGAACGATTATCCAAGTTCATCCGCGATTGTGTTTTTAGATCAAACGAGGAGATTTGTCTCTCGTCATTTCTGAAATGATTCAAGCATCAACCCAGCATTGCTTCATCATGAACAGGGAGACAGGCACTTGCTCAATGTACTACTATCACTACTGAAAAATTATTGAGAATCGGTTCCTATTGCCTGGATAAACTGAATTCCATTTTGCATTTTTGCCGAGCTTGGTAGTTTGTTTGAAAAATTTTCCTCACCGACCGAGCAGACATCGTCAGTGCCTGTGAAGTGGCAGCGCTCTGTCTGTACCCGTTTGCTTATATATGTTCTTCTCCGCCAATGTAACTCAAGGATCAAATGACGCAATAAAAGGTCCAGCCTCATTTACG